CCCGAGTTTTGGTCTGCCCGGATATCATGCTCCTGTAGGTCACAAATCAAAATTTTCACGTGTTTTGCCACCGACGTCAATTCCTCGTGTCTCACATTCAGTACTTAAATCACTTTTGTTCAGGGCAGCACAGTGGCTAAACGGTTAGCACTTCCGCCTGGCCAGTGTACTAGGGTCGTTGGTTCGAATCCCAGCTACGGCACCTCCTGCCAGGAGTTTGCATTTTCTCCCTGTGCCTGCGTGGGTTTCCTCCGGATGCTCCGATTTCCTCCCACACTCCAAAGACATGCTGCTAGGTTAATTGGCTCCTGTCTAAATTGTCCCTAGTATGTGTATGTATCAATGTAAGTTAGGGACCTAGATTGTACGCCCCTTGAGGGTTAGGGACTGATGTGAATGTACAATATATATTTAAAAGCGCTGTGTAAATTGATGGCACTATACAAGTACCTGAAATAAGTATACACACACACACATAGAGAGAGAGCACAACAGAGAGATAAAAGAAATAGATCGTAGATCATAAATGGTCTTTAGTGTTATGCAATAATAATATAAGGAACAGAGAAATTAAAAAAAATCACAGATAAAACAGTTCAGATCAAATTCAACGTTCAAACGTCTAGGTGCCTGCGTGCACATACATACATATATATATATTTTCTTTTAATAAAGAGTTGGTTTTTGGCTTTATATAAATACGTTTATTTAAATATTTTTTCTATCATCATAGACCGCCCATCCAAATTTGGGTCATTAGGAAGCTCCTCTTTTTAAACACAAAAAACGTTGATTAATGTCGGCACATCTTAATTTTATAAATACATTTTAAAAGATTCTAGCCTGTTCGTCATCCCTTTTAGTTTCTATATTTAATTTCTAGATTGAATAATTAAGGTTTAAATATTATTAGGCTCAGATTTATATTTTTATTTTTGACATATATATCATTCTCTTTGGAAAAAGTGTTTAATTTTTTTTTTTTTTTAAATTTCTTATGGTTATATACATTTGCCCTATAGTTTATACATTTCAGCTATAGATTTGTATGTATATATACACACACACCTCATCTTCCCCCTCCCCCTCCTTTTTTTAAGAGTGATCTAGCTCTGAGGCACGTTTATATTATAGTTTTCATATTTTTTCCACAATTTTTAAATGGTTATCTAAATAAAGGCTGTGACATGGAGCCGCATTAGTGCTTCTTCGTTTGCCCCGTATTTTATAGTATTTATCCCCTTATTTTAGTTTTTCATTTGTATTAATAGCAAATTATTATAATCTGCTCTATTAGAGCTGAAGGAGCGCTTGTCCTTATTGCCGGACCTCAATAATATGGCCACCGGAGGTCCGCTTTTCTCTTTCATTTGATTAACAGATAGACTCCCTATATATTAAGCCCTATGTCACGAATCATTTTACCCTGAGGAAGTCACGTGATAACGGGACGCAACGCGTAGGACCGTGGTGACGTAGTTCCAGCGTGGACGCAATCTTGCTTCACCCTAAACGCCCATGCAAGTACACCCATAGCATGTGGTTTATTTCAGCTTGTGTATATGCTTAACTAAAGTGAGTGGGCATTTGGCTGTACAATTTTTAAACATTATTAAACAGTATTACACTATGGGAGATCTCTCTCTGTTTCTATCCTGCTTTTTGATGTGAGCTGGCTGAGCCTTACTATATCATCCCTGAGGGGGATCCTGCTGTACTTCCACTTACCTGTGAGGGGGATATCACCGCCGCTGAGCCCTATTATCATTGAAGGGAAGCCCAGGCTGTGGATGTTTACTTTTGATTCCTATCAGGAGTTTAGGGGCAATTCAGTGAGGTGAGGGGGCAATTCAGCTGATTATGGATCATTTCCTTCTGCTTTTCGTGTGAATTTAACACCATCACCATCTGATCCGTTGGAAATATTCAGTGCTTTCAATGCATCTTTGGACTTTACCCTTCTTGGACATTTTTTTACGTGACACTTTGATCTAATTATTTACGATTATAATTTTGTGACATCACCTTTGTTGTGATATCACAGATTTATGTCTTCTGGTTATTATTTGCTTTTTTTTGATCACTGCACTCATCACAATAATTCAATGTGATAATCTGAAAAATCCCACATTCAGGGATTCACCTATTTATTTTCACATTTTCTTTTGGCTACATATAGCCTCCTTGGTCACTATATTTATCACAAAATTTAAATGTGATAATTGAAAATAATCCCACATTTCAGGGATACACTTTATATATCAAATTTATGTTTCACTATAGAATATTTTAGTTTGACCCTTTTAGAGTCCCATTGGTACATTGTACTTTTTTCTTTCATATTTCTAAATAATTATCATATCACGAGAACTTCACAGTTTTTTCACCATGGATCCCATATAGTGGATCATTTCACTTTACTTTTTATTTGTGAGTGATTGCATACTGTTATTTTGTTTCACTGAATTTTCACTGGTGGCGTACTTAAGTCACGTCTCCTCTGGTGAATGTGAGTCATTAGATCATGTTTGGATGATTTATATAAGTTTTTTTCTATATCTATACACAGAGTTCTTTAAATTGCTTATACAACACTATTTATTTGTATATTTTTTAACCTGATGGTATATTGGGGGATGCTAGTGTAGGAGTAGTGTCCGGTAGTTAGGAAAATAGTGACTACGAATGCTAGTCTTCAGGGTTGGGGGGCTGTTTTCTCGATGAGACCAACTTCTCTGGACAGTGGCTCCTTCCAGAACAGTCTGTCCATCAATGTCTTAGAACCATTCACAGTATGCCTTGCTCTGGAATTTTGGACGTCCAAGCTCCATGGGTATCCGGTCAGTGTGCCACAACCGTGACTTACATCAACCACCAACGGGGCACCAGGAGCTGCTTGGCTCAGGAGGTATTGAACCACATTCTGTCTTGGGCAGAATTACATGTGCGGTTTCCGTCGGCAGTGTACATCCCTGGGGTAGAAAACTGGCACGTGAATTTTCAGTCGCCAGCAGTTGGCTCCTGGGGAGTTGTCTCTGCACCTTGTAATTTTCCAGGCAGTTTGCCAATATTGGGGTACCCTGGATATAGATCTGTTGGCATCCAAGTTCAACAATAAGTTCAGGACCCACTCGCGATCGGAGTAGTTGTCCTGGTGGTTCCTTGGAGCCAGTTTTCCATGATTTATGCTCCCCCCTGATTCGGCTGCTTCCTCGTCTCTTACACAGGATTCATGAGGAAGTGAGTCAGGTGATATTGATTGCTCCAGCTTGGCCCAGAAAAGCTTGGTATGCAGACATTGTGAGGATGGCAGTAGATGGGCCATAGACTCTTCCGGCCCAGCTGGAACTACTGTCTCAAGGACGACCAATATTCCACCCTGCTTTACGTTCACTAGATTTGGCCTTATGACTGCTGAAGCCCAGATCTTAAGGGACCGGGGAATTTCAGGTGCAGGGGTCTCTACACTTTTTAATGCCAGGAAGGTGGTTTCCAGGAGCATCTATTATAGAGTGTGGAAATCTACATTGCCTGGTGTGAGGCCAGGAAGTGGAATCCCACGGATTATGTGATTGGGAGAATTCTTTTGTTATTCCAGTCAGTGGTGAATATGAACTTAGCCTTATGCAGGCCAAAGATGGGTCGAAAATCGGCCGATTTTTCGGCCGAAAATAAAATCGTCCGATTTTTGGATCGTTAGTGGTTTATTAGGTCGGCCGTTTTTTTCGGTATTTTGGCAGATTTTTTTTATCGGTAAAGTTTGAAAAAAATCGGCCGATTTCGCCGATCGGCCGATTTTCGCGGCAATGATGGGCAAATCGGCTGATCTTTTTACTGATAAAAAAAATCTGCGCATGAGCAGTGACCTGCAAGAGGAAGACAAAAAGAAGAGGAAGAAGGAGGGAGGAAGGAAGGAGGAAGGAAGGAGGAATGAAGGAGGAAGAAGAGGAAGAATTCCAGTCTGGCAAAAAGTGTCCCTGCAGAGAGCTCAGCTATTTCTTTGACAGTTCTTTGACATTTATAGCGGCTGCAACAATGTATCTATTTGTTTCTGAATAAAAACATCTGTATCCAAAATGGATACAAATAGATACAATGTTGCAGCCGCTATAAATGTCAAAGAACTGTCAAAGAAATAGTGGAGCTCTCTGCAGAGACACTTGGCTGTAGACGGGATGAAAATCGGACGATTTTTTTACCGTTCCTGGTAACGTCGGCCGATTGAACGACCGATTTTTTGGTTTTTTTTTAAAGAAAGATCGGCTGGTTTTCTCCCCATCTATGGCCTGCATTAGGAACTATTAAAGGTCAGATTTCAGCATTGGCTGTATTTTTTCAAAGACCGGAGTGCCATTAGGATTAATGGCACTCACCTGTGGGTCCCACATTTCTCTGTGTGGATGATTGCGGCTGCTGGTATTTCTGCAGAACCTGCAGCGGCATAACCCGCAAAGATGTGAACCGAGCCTAGAGATCAGCCTTTTTCTTAAGGACTTACCTTTTGTTTGAAATAATAAGAACGGTTTTGCAGCCTTGACACACTCAGTTCATATTTTAGACCTGCAACTCTTGACACCAGCTACAGTAACCCGTCTATTATTCATTCCATTAGAATGTACCAGGTACATAAATGCTGCATCATATATCCTTTATAAAAGTGCACAGCACAATTTGTAAAAATCCATCCATCAAGAAGTTTGCTTTTACTGAGACATTATACTATAATATTCATTTTACTGTTAGCTATTCTAAATGGGTTATTACAGTATTTTTAGAATGAGGTTTGCTTTTTCCTGGCCTGGAACACTTGTTCGTTCAGACAAGCAAAGTGTTCCTAAATCAGACACAAGGCACAGGCAGGCAGTTTCCAGGAGACCAGAATACCCATAGCAGCAACTGGGTTAAATCTCTCAGCATTTACAGACTGACATTTATACAAACTTCAATTAACCTCTTCAGATTTAAAAAGACCTCCTTTTTTCTCTAGCACAACAGCTTACCTTCCTTTCTGTCAAGAGATTCTTATATCCACTTGCACCAAGTGACAGCAGTGTTATTAGGACATCCAGAGATGGAGAGGCAGATGCTCTCCCTGGGTACATTTTGCTAATTTCCTCCAGAAAGGAATTGCTGAAACCAGCGATAACAGCTCCCCCTACTGGAACCATGAAATTCTTGTCTAAACTCTGCACAAAAGCATCTATTCTTCCTTTACGAGCTCCCTGGAAAAAAAGAAATGAAGGCTCTTTACATTTATAGCAAATAGTGCATAAAAATGACAACAGATGAAAAGGTAAACAAATTGTAATCATATATTTATATTACAGTCAAAAACAGTGAAAAATAATATGAGTTATACCTGACATAGAAGTTTGAGGAGAAATTCCAGGTATGGATATTTTATACAGTATATAGTTACATTAGCCCAGCTTAGACATGGGTCCAGAGCATGCTTGCATAAAGTCACTCAAGAGCATGCAAGAGCAGCATTCTGTGATTTACACAAGCATGGCATAGATCTATGTACAGCCATTCACTACTATGGGTAGCTGCTCGCTGCAGCTGTCTCTTCCAGGCTCTCATATAAGCATCAATGTGCATGAGGCCTAAGGAAAGTCATTGCCAGCACACCTTCCGTAGTGCTATACCCATTATGTGCTAATTACATTTTATTCTGTATATGATGCAATACAAGTCCAGAGATGGTGAGGCCCACTGACCTCACTGGTCCAGGAGCAACTGTTTCCCCTCCATCTCTAGTTCTGAGCTTCAATCTGCACTACACGTGTGAATCTGCCAATGTAGCTGTGAGAGCTGATTCACACATGTGCGGTGTGGATTGAAGCTATTTGATGCAATAGTTGTTCACATGTTCACGTCAAGTTTACGTCAGGTTCAGGACAGGCTTAGCTCAGGATCTGATCTTGTTCCCACATATGCGGTTTACAAACGGTTGCCATAGAAGCCAATGGCCTGTAATATGCACCTGAACCAGACCGCACTGCTCAGAAATCAGACATGACTCTTTTTAAGACCACACTGAATCCACACCACCAGTGCACTGGACATATGTGAACAGGCACCATAGGAAGCAATGTTGTTTCACATGTCATGCAGATTGGATGCGGTTCAAACTGCATCCAATCCGCATATATGTGAACGAGCACTGAGGAGCAGCAAGGAAGGCTGTGAACGTAAAAGTCCTGTAAGGTCCACTTTAGCTCAAACATTTATAGCAACGCATGTTCATGTATGAAAACCTTGTACAGTTTTGTAATTATCTTTGTACTTGAGGCTGCCTTTGTAATAATTTAACTCTAACAGGAATTTTTAAGCCCTGGTTCACATCTGTACGGGCCACGATTTCCGCGGGCAAGAGAGCACATTCATTTGAATGGACTCCCGTGCCCCGGGACACGCAGGGAAGAAGTCCCTGAACTACTTTGGAATTCGCAGCCCGCACAGGAGCCGAGGTTCCTAGTGTGGTTGTGACTTCCAGTGCGGGCGGCGTGCCATTAGAATTAATGGCACTCGTCCGCGGGTCCATACAAATTCCTCTGTGTGGGTGGTGCGGCTTCAGGCATTTGTGTGGGTCCTGCAGCAGCAGATGAGAACCCAGGGTCAAGTTTAACTGACTGAAGACTGCTAACCCTGAATGGGGTTTCGATTAGTGGCTGCATTTTCCTGTATGTCTCTGTCCATATTAATGCTCCATTCCCATAGTCCTGTGCAGCAAGTCTGTAAATTACTTCTTAGACAGGTGATTTTATGTTTTGTTTTTTTGTTTTTTTTTTTTTTAAGGGTGGCTGCTGAACAGTGGAACACAGCAAAATAAGAGTAAGTGTGAACAGAGTTTGGTACAGGTCATTTTTAAATCTACAAGTGCATTTTAAAGTTCTTCAAGCCATAAACTAACTTAATAGTTTTGAACAGAACAGGGAAGGATTAAAAATGCTGCTACCCAGGTCTCCATCAGAAAGACTTCCCTTCACGTGCCTACCTGCTGACAAAGATTTTTCCATAGAGAAAGTCTGCAGGAACAAATTAAAAATCTGACAGGGATTCTACACTTCTCCTTCTATATTAATTTTTGTCTGTATTGCTGCTGGACAGTTCTGCTTGCTTCCAGTCTGGTAACTATTTTCAGCTAGAGGGAAAGTAAAGCAAGCCATAGATGATGTGATTTTCCTTCCTGCAACCAGGGCAGCCAATAGAAATGTTGGGGCCCTTTACACAACCTTATACCTGGCACCCCCCCCTTCCGGCCCTGACCACCAACATTCCCCAGGGCCTACCCACTAGCCATCCCATCGAGTCCTTCAGTGCACCCATTTTTATTTTAACACCCTTACCACTTAACATACGAAAATGAATCCAATACAGCAAAGAGATATCCTCATACCTTCCTAGATTGTAAGCTCCAAGGAGAGCAGGGCCCTCAAATCCCTCTTGTATTGAACTGTATTGTTACTGTATTGTCTCCCGTTCAATTGTAAAGCGCTGAGCAAACTGTTGGCGCTATATAAATCCGGTATAATAATAATATTCAGCAAAGAGACATCCCCATATATTCAGCAGTGTGCAGTATGTATAGTATTATATATCCCTGGTCCTCTCACCTCCTGGGTCTGGTATGCATAGTATGGCATATGTCCCCTGGGTCTCCCCTCTCTCACCTCCTTGATATGGTATGTATGGTATATATGACCCCCTCAGTCCTCTCACCTCCTTGTTCTGGTATATGTTGGCAGTGTATGTATGGTATATGACCCTGGTATAGTATATGATGCAGTGCCCCCCCAGTCCCCATCTCACCCTTGGTACCTTGGTATATATATATATATATATATATATATATATATATATATATATATATATATATAATATATTTGCGCCCCCAGTAATAGTATATGATGGCAGCGTATGGTAAATACACTAAATGCCCCCTGGTTCCCCTCTCACCTCCTTGATCTTGAACGTGACGGCAGTGTACGTATGGTATATAACCCTAGTATGGTATGGGATGCAGTAACCCCTTGGTCTGATATATGCCCCCCAGTCCCTCTCTCACCTCCTTGGTCTTGAGGTGAGAAAGGGACTGACCAAGGAGGGGAGAGGGGGTATTGAGATTATGTTAGTTTTGAAATCTTTGCAATTTATAAAAAATTAAAAAAAAAAAAAAAAAAAAAAAAAAAAAAAAACACGTGCATAAATATTCACAGCCTTTGCTCAATACTTAGTTGAAGCACCTTTAGCACCAATTACAGCCTCAAGTCGTTTTGAGTATGATGTTACAAGCTTGGCACACCTATTTTTGGGCAATTTCTCCAATTTTTCTTTGCTGTACCTCTCAAGCTCCATCAGGTTGGATGGGGAGCATTGGTGCACAGCCATTTTCAGATCTTTCCAGAGATGTTCACTTAGGTTCAAGTCTGGGCTCTGGATGGGCCACTGCCAGGACATTCACAGAGTTGGTCCGTAGCCACTCCTTTGTTATGTGGGCTGTGTGTTTAGGGTTGTTGTCCTGTTGAAAGATGAACCGTCGCCCCAGTCTAAGGTCCAGAGCGCTCTGGAACATCTTTTCATCAAAGATGTCTCTGTACATTGATGCATGCATCTTTCCTTCGATCCTGAGTAGTCTCCCAGTTCCTGCCGCTGAAAAACATCACCACAGCATGATGCTGCCACCACCATGCTTCACTGTAGGGATGGTATTGGCCAGGTGGTGAGTGGAGCCTGGTTTCCACCAGACATGATGCTTGGCATTCAGGCCAAAGAGTTCAATCTTTGTTTCATCAGACCAGAGAGTTTTGTTTCTCATGGTCAGAGTCCCTCAGTTGCCTTTTGGCAAACTCCAGGCGGGCTGCCATTTGCCTTTTACGGAGCAGTGGCTTCCGTCTGGCCATTCTATCATACAGGCCTGATTGGTGGAGTGCTGCAGAGATGGTTGTTCTTCTGGAAGGTTCTCCTCTCTAGACAGAGAAACGCTGGAGCTCTTTCAGAGTGATCAAGAGGTGCTTGATTACCTCCCTGACTAAGGCCCTTCTCCCTCGATCGCTCATTTTGGCCAGGTGCTTGCTCTAAGAAGATTCCTGGTGGTTCCAAACTTCTTCCATTTATGGATGATGGAGGCCACTGTGCTCACTGGGACCTTCAATGCTGCAGAAATTTTTCTGTACCCTTCCCCAGATCTGTGCCTTGATACAATCCTGTCTCGGGGGTCTACGTACAATTCCTTGGACTTCATAGCTTGGTTTGTGCTCTGACATGCACTGGAACTGTGGGACCTTATATAGACAGGTTTATGCCTTTCCTAATCATGTCCAATCAACTGAATTTCCTACAGGTGGACTCCAATCAAGTTGTGGAAACATCTCAAGGATCAGTGGGAACAGGATGCACTAGAGCTCAATTTTCATGGCAAAGGCTGTGAATACTTATGTACGTGTTTGTTTTTTTTTTCGTTTTTTTTTTTAATAAATTGCAAAGATTTAAAAACAAACTTCTTTCAGATTGGCATTATGGGGTATTGTTTGTAGAATGTTGAGGAAAAAATGAATTTAATCTATTTTGGAATAAAGCTATAACAAAATGTGGCAAAAGTTAAGTGCTGTGAGAACTTTCTGGATGCACTGTGTACAGTATATATTACACATATACACAGTTAGGTCTATATATATTTGGACACAGGCACAATTTTAGTTTTTTTTCAGGTATTTACTAAAACATATTCAAGCTATAGCTATATAATATGGACTGAAAGAGCACACTCTCTGCTTTAATTTGAGGGTATGTACATCCAAATTGGAGGAAGGGTTTAGGAATTACAGCTTTTAAGAGTAGCCGTCCCCCTTTTTCAAGGGACCAAAAGTAATTGGACGATTCAAAAGCATGGCCAGGTGTGGGCTACTCCATTATTTCTTCATCAATTAAGCAGGTTAAAGGTCTGGAGTTGATTCTAAATGTGGTATTTGCATTTGGAATCTATTGATGTGAACCTACATCATGCGTTCAAAGTAGCTGTCCAAGCAGGTGAAACAGGCCATTGAAAGGCTTCCAAAACTAAACAAATCCATTAGAGAAATAGCAGCAACAGTAGGAGTGGCCAAATCAACAGTCTGGTACATTCTGAGGAAAGAAGAATGCACTGGTGAGCACCGCAACATAAAAAAGGCATGGACATCCCCGGACAACAACAGTGGTGGTTGATCGCAGGATCCTATGTTAAAGGAAAAACCCATTCACAACATACTGTCAGCCCAGATTCAGCCAAATGCAGCAAAGCTGATTGGACAGCGCTTCACAATACAGATGGACAATAATCCAAAACACACTGCAAAAGCAACCCAGGAGTTTGAAGGAAAAGAAGTGGAATATTCTGAAATGGCCGAATCAATCACCTGATCTCAACCCAATGGAGCATAAATTTCACTTGCTGAAGGCAAAACTAAAGGCAGAAAGACCCACATAGAACAACTGAAGACAGTTGCAGTTAGACCCTGGCACAGCATCAGAAGGGAGGAGACCCAGTCTTTGGTAATGTCCATGGATTCCAGACTTCAGGCAGTCATTGCCAGCAAAGGATTCTCAACAAAATATTAAAAATTAACATTTTATTTATGATTATATTCATTTGTCTAATTACATTTGAGTCCCTGAAAATGGAGGGACTGTGTATAAAAATGGTTGCAGTTCTTAAAATTTGTACTTGATATTCATGTTCAACCCCTTGAATTAAAGCTGAAAGTCTGCACCATTTGGATTGTTTCATTTTAATTTATTCTGGTGGCATACAGAGCCAAAAGTATGAAAATTGTGCCTGTGTCCAAATATATATGAACCCAACTGTATATGATCCCCGTCCCCCGGACCTTCTCTCACCTCTTTGGTGTGATAGAGATTATTATATCAATAAATAAATATAAATAATATATATGACTCCTGTTCCCCGGTCCCTCTCTCACCTCTTTGAGTTGCTCCAGCTCCCCCCGAACAATCTCAAACTACAGCTTGGCATACTGCTGATTCAGCTGCTATTTCTCATCCAGCACCACCAGTCTGTACTATGCCACCTGGATCTTCTCCCAGGTAGTCCTGCTCAGCTACTGGAAGAGGCTTAATCTCCATCCTCAGCCACCTCAGTCATGCCATCTCTAGCTGCTGCTGTCTTGTGTCACCGAACTTGTCGTGGGTTCCCTCCCCGTATCCCTACTCTCAGCACCTGGGCTCCGCATCCTCTGTGCCGGGTCTCGGCCCCGTTGGTTGGGCCCGGGCCCCCTAAATTTGTATGGACTGCCCCCCCCCCCCCCCCCCCCGATGGTGAGTCTGCCTGCAACCATGGGTTGCAGGAAAGAAAACCACTCTAATTCCCCATCAACAGTCAGTGTTGATGGGAATTCCCTCCAACAGTGCCATTGTGTTCTGCCAGCAGGGAGCCTTCCCTGGCAGCAGAATACAATGATTACTGCTGGCAGTTATAGCAGCTGGCAGTATTCGCTTGCAAAAATCAGACATGCTGGTTGTACCAAGGTCGATTGATGGATCAACTTCAGTACAACCAGCCTGCCAATAGATGGATCTAAACTCAGCAGGTATATCTATGGTCGGCTTTAGGGTAAAGGAGCCAAGGATAGCAGTTAAAACCTGACAGGGATTAATAAACATAACACTGATTGGATTGACGGGTGACTGGCAACACCACATCCATACAGATGTTATGCATAAATTAAACAATGGTTTATGTACTGTATGTCATTAAATATTTTTTTAATGACAGCCATAAACCATCATTAAAAAGGATGCCACATAGTACAAAATCCCCCTTTGCATAAGACAAACTGCATATAGAGACAGCACCTGCTACTGTTCTATATTATATTCATTTCACTATTACATTCATGGGTATACATATTTCACCACAATTGATTCACAAAATTAATGTTCATAGCAGGATCAAAGCTTAATTAGTTCTCAATGCTCTTCGCAGAAAACTTCAGAAATTAAGAGGTATAGGTGTGCATATTACTATGAATGTGACGCATGCCCCAACATCTAACTACAGCCCTCCCCAATGTGGGTCAACACAAAAGCAGGAAAGTGGTGATCTGTAACACTGAGGACCCCTCTATGCATAAAAGAATTGCTTTCAAATTTAAAAAGTCCTCAGCTGGTTATTCACAATATAAACCAGTACACATCAAAACTCCCTGAGATTGCCAAGTAGCCCCATCTGTGACAATCCCTCTACTGCATCTGTAAAGCGATGCTCATACTTCCACAGGCAAATGCTCTCATATGGAGGGTGTTACCCCTGTTGGTCACACAAGCCTGACAGGAGTTCTAACCATTTCCCACTCTAAAACTAGAAATGTTTTAGCTGGACATACACTAAATTTTTTGAGAAAGTCAACAAAAACATTATTTGAGTGAGGGTATTTATACTTTTTAAGCAGGTCTGCATATTTGAAATTTCTAATATTTCCATGTATACAAATGCTCCCAGATAGCTACAGAAAATTGCATACATGCAAAGTTATACATTAGAATTTAAAATCAGTTTTTACTCTTTAAGACATGTTCTCTCTGGATTAAAGTATGCCGAAACTAAATTGCTGCAGACCATTCCATCGTGTCCTTCCTCTCCCATCTCCCGATTCACTTAGTCCGCAAGCTGCACTTGTACAAATACCACTGTAAACATGCATACACAGGGAGGTCTCCAGGGGGACTGTATTTAGCTTACCCTTGGAAATCTATTGAAATTCTATAAGAATCATTACTCATGACATGAAAATACAAGTCATTGTATATAGGTAACATTTACTAGTGCGTCACACCGAATAATAATCCCATTAGTGGTAATACCTGCTGGATTAGATGCATACATTTTGAAGATTGAACACCATAGGCATTATTCACAATGTGTGGAACATCATACTTGGCACAGATCTCTGCCAATTCTTCCAGCCTAAACAAAGCACAAGGAGTTTAATTTGTTAAGTATTCCCATACATTTATTAAATAAAGTATTTGTACACTTCTAGAAACTTATATAAAAATAGCAATTCCATGCAACAGTAAATTACTAATGCTAAGCAGCAAACACCGAAGCCGTGCTAATATCAGAAGGTCAGGTTATCTTATTTTAAGCCTTAAGGCAGCTTTGAATCTAACTGACAACTAAGAGAAACTATTCAGCACTGACTTTTTTTTTTTATACAGGCTTTTTGTATTTGAGAGACAGAAAGGAGCCTACATTTGATATACTTCCCAACGCAAGTATGGGTTATCAGTTTTCCAATCATAGTTTGGGATGGACTGACAAAAACAGAAGTAAGGACTGGTAAGCCGTTTTTCCTGTATTCCCTGATCTACCTCAGCAACCTACCTGTCAGATAAATGTTGCTCGATCAGCACTGCTGGCTATAGCCGGCAGTGCTGATCAGTGTATTCTGATGGAGGGGAAGTCAGAATACAATAGCTCAGCAGGAGTGATTCCCCCAATCACCTAGAATGTGTGGATGGGGGAATTAGGTACCTTCTTTTCGTTCAACCCACTAGTTGAATGAAAAAAACAAAATCATCTATAGGCTGCTTATGATAGGAAGTGTGTTACTGGCCAGATAACAGTGTACAAATAAAGGCAAAAAACACAGAAAACAAATGCATTCACCAAATCTAATGATTTGTAATCTGCAATATATAAAACTTTTGTTTTTGTATATCCTTTAATCAGTGGAGAGGTCACAATGATATCCTACCTGTCAGGTACACGAGGAGCGAAGCATGATGTAGTGGAGTGAACACACAGAATGTTCTCTGCTCCAAGTTCCTGGATTCGAGATTCTACCCTGTTCAGATCTGTGCGTAGCTCATCCCCTTCCAGCACATTCTCAATCACTACAGGCTCAAAACCTTTACAAAAGCATAAAACACTAGTTCATGATGTAGTGAACAAGTCACAAGACACCTGCATTACTGTACATCCTGTGATGCCAAGCGAAAACATTCCTCTACCACCCATTAGCTTACAGAGCAGACACTCTTTAAGCTGGCCATAGATGGATCGAATTGGCCCAGTTCAACAGGGACCGGCCAGACTGCAATCCATGTTGATCACGCTGTCAGAATACAAGGTCTCAATGGAGAGGATTCCTCTATCCACCTTGCTTGTGTGGAAGGAAGAGTCAGTTCTTTTTTGTCACTGGCTGATGAAAATAAAAAAAATATAATTAATTATTAATTTGCCAGCTTTACACAGGTATGATTTAATTTTTCCCAGCTGTGTGTTGGATCAGCAAGGATTTTAGGTAATTTCACTTGCTGACTTGTAAGATAATTTCATGAAGTTTTAAAGGCATTTAAAAGGAGAAATAGGGCTAAAACTCTTTTGGCCAGATTTTCTGGAGCGTCACAGGCGTGCGCTTAGTTTTGCACTGCTGTGACCTGTATTCAGACGATAGCAGGCTAAAGTCCGCTGTTGGCTCTCACTCAGCCAGTCCAGACTCAGGAGGGGCACACACTCATGGGAAATCCGGCTGGTCCCTGTTGGACCAGCTAAATTTCCATCAGTGTGTGGCCTCCTCTACTCAACAGAAGTCAAATATTAAATTGAGTTCTGTCAAAGGGACATGTAAGAAAATCTTCTGGCAATCAGTGGCTGCAGCCACTGATGACTGTATTCTGACACAAGTGGGTACCTATCCCAGAGTACAGCTTTAATCTCAAAGACTTCAAGGCATTATAGCCAATTTCCAAAAATCCATCAGAAACTGTTCTCTCTGGGATACAATACACTACAGGTTCAAAATCAGTGTAAAGCTATCCACATATAGGACGAAAAGATTCTTCTATCCACCAGGTAGATGAAGGAATCAACCTCCCGCTGAGACAGTATTCTGACAGCAAGAACTCTCCAGCTTCAGGTCAACAAGTTTTCCATAATTCCAAAACTACAGAAGTCGATCCATCAATTGTCTTCTGTCAACAACCACACATTGATCAAAATTTGGCCAGTACCTGCTGAACCGGCTGAATTTCAATCCACCTATGGCCAGCTTTAGAAAGCACCAGGCCACTTGGTCTATTTTTTTTTTCTTTTAGGTGGATGCAAAAAACCAAATCAGCATCCTCCTCTAGCACAGTACAACATACACAACAGTAGTGTCCAATTTTCCACCTTTTTCTCACTCAGTTGGATTCCCAATTTTATTGTTTGCTGAATTTAGTAATAAAGAAACTGCACCTGCTTGGCTTTATATTTGCAGAAGATGTAGAGCAAAAAACATCCATGAGGGGGTTATACTGGTAAATCTACTGGAGGGGGGGGGGGGGGGTCATGCTGGGTATGTGGTAAGTTATAGTGTCCTGAAAGGCAAAAAACTTTTTTTTGTTTTGTTTTTGCACAGCATGGAGAGATATCAGAACTCGTCAGACCTTTATTGTTGTCTGTGCCCCGTTAGGGAGATTCACCCTCTTTATTTTTGCTGTTTACCGTTCTCATAGAAGGTGAAGGTAAAAGAAAACAGGAATAAAAGGGAACTCTTCCAGTGGGGACAGCCAATTCTGATAACCCTGGTGATAAAAGGTTTGAATTTTTCATAATTTTATTCTAAAATAAAAAAAAACAGGTTTATACTTACCTGCTCAATGCAAGGATATTGCACATAGTGGCCTCTTACCTCCACTCCTCAGGTCCCCTGCCAGCACTGTCCACTCTTCCTTTTCTTGCTTCCTTCCAGTTGCTATATGGGCACACGTGTGGGTATGCTCCCAAGCATGGATGTGTACATCCATAGACACAAACAGTGCGGCTCAACCACACCCTCCTTACTGGATTTCACTGATAGCAATGGGGGCAAATGGCTACCACTGCTCTTAGTCTATCCTGTCAGAGCAGGGAAAGAGGCTAGCACTGCTGCAGATGGGCACAGAAATGGATCAAGAGATGACTCAGGGAATTGTTTAGGGAGCAGAGGAAAGAATCAGCAAGTGGAAGGTTTTTACCTTAATGCATGAAATTCATTAAGGTAAAAAAACCTCTTGACTTTAGAACCACTTTAATTTTTCACTCAGCTCCTTCGATTTTTTTAATCAATGATAGTCAAGCCAAGTGGTGCCAACAGGGCCATCCACAGCTCACGTTTCACCCAATCTGCAGAAATCTGCTAAAATTTGAGTTGTATATGGTTAGCTTAACACCTGGGGGACAGGAATATAGCATATGAAAGGTGAAGAAGAGTCTGATTGTGTGCCAATTCCAGGTCAGCAGTTCAAAGGAGTCAAGTCGAACTATCAGCATGACAATGGCCAGATAACTTGCCTTTTTGGGAAAGGTCAGCAGTGGCAGCCTTCATATTTCTCTCATTAACCGTTACAAAGTAGCCAGCAGACATTGGCTTTTGTCAGCCATACACAACTCATTACCTAGAGATTAACATTTTACAATTTACCTGCAGTGATCATAGACTTGAAACAAGATTTCTGGTCTATCCGTGGCCAAATGATGTACTTTGCTTTTGGCCTTTTATGTCGAAGTGTCAGAAAGCACAGGGTTAAGCTCATCCCAGTTGCCATGGGAACCACAAAGCAGCTTGTTGCAGTTCGCACACCTGTAATTGTAAGTCAGAACTGTAATGAACCCTTTGTCATCGTACGGCACTTTGACATGATTTGAAATGGAATTTGTAAATCCACCTGCCTGCAATTTTTAGCACATCCAGCACCAGTGAATTGGTTAGCTTATTTAAGAGACTGGAGCCTGCAGCTTTCGGTTGTATGGCGGCGATGTCTCCTGATCTTCCAATCCCGTGGATGAGTCTGCAGATAACAAAAAAATGACTTGAAACTCTTGGAATGACTCAGACGGAATCAGTCATGACAGATGATATATTTTTCCAATAAATGTAAACAGCCAATGTTCTCAGGAGAGACTGCAAGCCGTGACTCAGCGGTCTGGGTTCTCAGGTACAATACCCCTCGGGATAGAATAATCCTCTGGGGTGAAGTCACATCTGCTACAGTGCAGAAAAGAAAGACAAATGTCAGCAACATAGCTTCTACGGAAGAAGTGCTGCTGTCAAATCTGAACTTCAGACAAACAGCTAAAAACATAGCTAAAAATGCACATTTTATGTCTTGCCCATCAACATTTTTTATTAGTGTTCAGCCAGACTTGTCATCCAGGCACCCATGCCAGACCATTCAGATATGTTGGTGTCATAGCACTCTTCCACAGCAGTGTTTCTTATCCACTAACCTGCTACCGACTTGCAGACTGGTCAACAAACATCACATGTCAGTACCATCACTCTGACCTCTCCTCCTGTCAACAAGCTTCCAGTGTTTGTTTGAAAGCACTAGGCCATGCAGTAAAACCTGTCCAGCTCACAGTGCTGCCCCTCCACCTCCCAATCTGAGCTCTATTGTTGATTGTGGGAAGTGTACCTGAATTCAGAAAGGACATCCAAGAGGTGCTGAGACTTGGAACACTAATTTGTACAGAGCAAAGAAAGTATTATAGAACTCACTGGCTCTGTTTATGCAGCCCGCATAGAACACTGCTACCCTCTAGTGGGTACTCAAAGTCACCAAAACATAAAACCACAGGAGAGTCAGACGGAAATGTGAGTCCAAATTACGTTAATGGTTCAGCAAGAAAGAGCCAACATATTTATGTGTGAACCATTGAAGCAATTTGAACTTTTATAAATCTCATTTTGGCGCTCTTCTGTAGTTTTATGCTCTAAGGAACACTTATAAGAAGACAGAACTGAGGTGCGACTTGTACTTAAAGAGGTAGTAATGTCCGCGTTGTGATTTTTACACATACATAAACTTATAATAAACGGTGCATGTTTAGGAGAAATTCTCTACTTTTGACAACTGGCACACGCACTGTGAAGGAATGGCATACCTGTGCCGTATCTTCAGAGTACTGTGCCATGGACCGTGATGTGACATCAGCGCAACTTGGCCAGTCAAATGGCCGGAGCTCAAAATCCCAGAAGTAAGACCAGAAGAAGATGAAAGCCCTGTCAACAGTGACAGCGCACTGCTGGAGGGCTTCGCTCTAACATAGGTATTTCATATATATGCGATGCATTCTAGAAAATTATGCAATTGCCTTGCAGGGTTTTTTTAGCTGCAGTTTACTACCACTTTAAAGTGTTTCTAAAGGCAGAAGGTTTCCTGTTAATGCATTGTATGCATTAAGATACAAAACCTTCTGTGTGCGGTTCTCCCCCCCCCCCCCCCCCCATACTTACCTAAGCCTGATTTTGATACTCCCTGCGCCTGAGAGTAGCGGCTCTCCGCTCTCCTCAATGGATATTGCTCCTGCAGCTGTCAATCACAGCCTGTGAGAAGAGAACGGGGGGTGGGACCGAGCTGCACTGTATGTCAATGGACACACAGAGTGCAGCTTGGGATTGAGTGCGCATGAGTGCCCCCATAACAAGCGGCTGGATCACTCAAGAAGGGGGGGGGGAGCCAGGAGCACCAGCAGGGGACCCGAGAAGAGGAGGATCAGGGCTACTCTGTACAAAACCATTAAACAGAGCAGGTATGTATACCATGTTTGTTTAAAAAAAAAATCCATCACTTTAAATGACATGTAATTCTTTTAATAAACCTTTAACCTCCCTGGCGGTATTCCCGAGTGTAGCTCAGGGTAAAGTTTCAGTACCACAAGCGGTAACCCTGAGCTACACTTGGGCTTACCATGCGGCGCTGCTCCGCGATCCCTCGATCACTTACCTTGTCCTACGCTCCCGCGATGTCCCTCCTGCAGTGTCCCCGGCAATGTAATCCGGCGGATGCCGGCATCTGTCATCTGGGTTCCATCCCCTGCGAGCGTCGGGATGTACGGGGGACGGAACGGCGGGAAATTTGAAAATGACAAAAAGAGACATTCACTAAATTCACTCAAATCACATAGTAAAACATTACTGTATCAAACCATTTCACATACATTTTGTCCCGAGTGCTTTGTCCTGTGCCCTGCCTGCATTTTTACTGTTCTTTCTGCCTGGAAACTGAGAAATGTCCATGGTGTCCAAAAAGCGACCCTTTATGTCAAAAGTGGTTTTAGACCAGCTAGAGAACAGCGATAGTAAATCAGAACTACTTGCAGAATTTAGTGATAATGATTCATGGGGAAATTCGTCATCAGACACTGAAAACGATTTTGCGACTTTGCTCAGTGATGTGCGAACTTGGCGCTATATTTCAAATTTAAGTGTTTTTGGTTTGATTATATTATTGAATTAAATGTATTATTATATTATTATTTTTTATGATTATTTATTAAATTATAATTTATGATTTTGTGTTTCAAGTTTTATCCTACCCGGAATGTTTACTAGACTCCTGTTCGGACAGATTTCAGTGAGTTATTCCTAAAAATTACAGGCCTACAATAAAAAAAAATACATATTTCCATGCAAAAAAAATGGACTGCTTTGAGCACAGATATATGGACATAATCAGACTGCCAGGGAGGTTAATAGGGAGCAATGGATATTTTATTTTCTGCCGGTGCTCACTCTTAAAAATAACCTGTGAAAAGAGATATGGAGGCTGTCCATGTAGGTTTGCAGGGTTGTTATACTGATCCTTCACTACCCAGTTACTTCTGGCACAAAGAACCATACATTTGGTATTGGGGCACCCAGAGTGCACATACATGTTTCAGGCTACTGGCTTCTAATTAATTAAACAAAAAGAATGACAGCCCTGCAGCATGCATTCTGGCCCATGGGAGGATCCTCCATCCAGTAGGTCCTCACAAGCCTCTCTAATGTGAATAGTGTGCCTACTGGCAGGCCAGAGGATGTCTGCACTACAGTGGAAAGCTGCAAGCTAGGGAAGCACTAATATACACACAGAAAAAATACATCACTTCCTGGATAACTCTGGTACTTCCATTCATCTGGAGTGTGCTTCCAGGGAGCATCTGAGAACAGTATGAGTGGGGCCCACCTCAGAATCAGTTTGGAAGGCAGAGTGGGTAGCAGACCATTCACAGGGTAGTAGAAGGAGAAGGAAGCTATGAGTGATGGTACAGGAGCAGCATGTACATCTGTGTATGTAAGTGTCAGTAGGCAACCCTTCAAGATAAGACTGTACTGTAATGAGTTTACAAGAGTAATGAGAGGCAGATCACTTATCTGCTTTCACTGTGCATGAGAGATCTGTCTTTCACTGGTGGGTGGGTGGCTGGGAAAACATGATAAAAAAAAAATCTCTCTTTTTTTGTAAGAGAGACTCTTACTGCACCCCACTCCCGCCCAACATAAAACAGACAAAAGTATATAATATACATTGCACAGTGGAGCAGCCATCTGTATGTTGTGCAAAAAAGTCATGCAATCAGTAGTATGTTACATGTACCTTCAGAAACAAGTGAGCAATGGTGATTCCTATAAATCCACCTTGGCAAGTTCCCTTTAAAGAAAATCTGTCACAAGAAAATAATTCTTATTCTGCCATTCTTAATCTATTCTTCCCAGGATGCCATTTGCCTGGTAATCATGCGCATGCTTTTGCTTCAGTGCTCACCAGGAACAAATATAGAGACAAGAAAATTGCATGTTCTGGGTATGTGACAAATATAGTGAAGTCAAACATAGCCAGGCACCTAGCATTGTAAAAAGGAGGACAGCTATAGCAGCCCTTTTATTTCTTTCATAACAGAGTCATTAAGTATCTCTGCAAAATATTTTAAAGGTGGCTTGAGGAACCAGATTTATTTAGACAATTCTATAGCTCAGCCTTCAAATGCTTCTGAAATTCAAACATACTTAAAGAATGTAAACCCAAAATTTCCAATTCCTGATATGTGTCAGCTATACTTGTATATAAAAAGTATGCTCTTCTCTTTGTATCGCTTCCTTTGTGTAAAATCCCTGGCGTTTCTGCCAGGTCCTCTGCTTTCCAAATAAAAACCAACCTCACTAGGCACGAAAGCACAAAGTGGTCAGTTTTCTGGCTGTACTGGGAGCTAATCCAATGAACGGGCTTGTGCCGCCACACTCCCAACCCACCCAGTTATTCACGGAGAAGATCAATGTACTGATGTTTCTCCTCTGTGAGGTCCTTTTGCAGCTGAGAACAGAGAGTATGTGGTCACTTATAGAAAAGGGTCATTTATAATGTTTTTATGTTTATGTTTTTAATGTTATGAACACATAAATGTTTTGCCTAAATTTCTATTTTAAACTGAATTGCTTGTCTTACAAGGTGAGGGTGTACATATTCTTAAATCTTTAGGCAAGGTGCCTCTCTGACCAAAACTAAAAAGAGGAATATGTCTACTTTCTAGCTGAGACTATTATTTGGGTACCGTAGATTTTGAGCCTTCCTGGCTGCTCAAGAAAAAGCCTAAACACTTTTAGCAGGGTATATAACAATTAAATGGGGCTTATTTATAGCACTCAGTGTAAAAGTGTAGCTGCTGAGTAAGCCATTGGTTAGCCTTCCTTGCCAGTTTTGAAATATTAACTAGCCCATATAGGTTAAGGACCTGTTTACACTAGTGTGTTTTAGGTGCAGTATCAAAAAAAAAAATTATCTGCTTGTATGCATCCTTAATGTGCCTTCATCAAACCTCATATGCAAATCCGGTTACATAAAGTTCAATGGTGAAGCAAGTAAAATGCACCTCATCGGAACTGCAGAGGTATGAATCAATACTTTTATAGCTGGCCGTACCGATAATGTCGACGGGCAACCATGCTGCTGGCAACTCTTCCCTCTCGCTCTCCAACACCACAATTGCCAAGGAAATTGTTGCTGTCCATCACAGCCAACTCCTGCAGAAAAAGTTCAATGGTGCTTTCATCCCAAGCTTCTAGTGGACATTTTCCCTGAGGAGAAAAGAATGGACAGGTTAATATACCAGTCACAGGAAGGTCTGTAAAACTAGAAAAAAAAAAAAACTGCTGTTCACATATCCAAAGACAAGAGGAAAATCACCTGTTGTAGGCTATTCCTACTAGGACTACAGATGTGACAGAAGCCACCTCTCACTAGTTGTTAAATTAGAACTAAAGACAGAACTTTTTTTTTTCATTTTGGATACAGTAAGGCAGGATTATAACCTCTAACATGTTTTTTTTTTTTGCCATCTGTGCCTCATACGATTTTCCTTCACTTTCTGTCCCGTAGCCAAGACAGGGAGTGAGTGGAAATCCCTCCACAGTAAGGGTATCCCTAGTTGTTACCAGGACTACAGTCCTCATTTGAAGATTTCCCCTCTATTACTGTTCTAGGAACAACCTCAAATTTGGATTTTTTTTTCACTTTCACTCTTAGTGAGAATAGTAAACATGACAAATAAAGAAGGAGAACCTCCCTTATGGGGGCACAGACAATAAAAACCATCAATAAAATAAATTGTAAAAAAAAAGCATCCAAGCGGCACTGAAACTTTGACGTGGGTGGACATGAAATAGGGAGAAGACAAAAATATTTGAAGAACTCGTTGGGTCAGTTTAGGCTGCTCACAACAAACAGGGCTACCCTCCTGTGGGTACCCAGGATATACCAGGAGAAAAAAAACATGCACCGATGGAAAGAGAACCAGCCCAAATGTTAAGAGTCCAGATTAATTTATTGGTTTACACTAAAATCACAGCCAGTACATTTCAGGGCCCAAAAAAACAAAAAAAAAAACAAATCAAACAAAAAACATCCTCGGTAATCCAGTTAAAATAAGAAACTTGAATGCACAATGTTGATGCTCGGCACAGATGCTGCTGGCTAGTAACTCTTCTAATCCAGCAATTAGTTTCCTTACATGTTAATCTACACAGGGAAGTCCTATTTTGAATCCTTTAACCGCTTCAATAACGCCGTAGGTATAGAACAGCCTCGTATTGAAGTGGGTACACCGGCTGCAATGGGCATATCAGCTACAACCATGATCCCAGTATCATATTTTTGTGCTGGTAATTCTCTTAAATAAAAGTAGACCGAGAGGCTATGCAGTGGACAGGGGTCCAACCACCCTCCAGCAGCTGCTGTCTTTACCGGGCTCTTCCGTGCGATCACGAAGCCCGGTAAAGATGCAACCGGCGCCATCGCCTCCCCCAGACAAAGTGGGAGGCACTCATTTTGTTCCTCCCACTGTGTGACACCAGAAACTGGAAATGACGAGGATTTAGTCACTTCTAAGCAGCCGATCACACCGATCTGTGTCTGTGGCAGTTTAATGTGTATATACACTATATTGCCAAAAGTATTGGGACACCCCTCCAAATCACTGGATTCAGGTGTTCCAATCACCTCCATGGCCACAGGTGTATAAAATCAAACACCTAGACATGCAGACTGCTTCTACAAACATTTGTGAAAGAATGGGTCACTCTCAGGAGCTCAGTGTATTCAAGCATGGTACCACTGAATATTCCATGGTCAACTGTTATTGTTATTATAACAAAGTTGAAGCAACTGGGAAGAACAGCAACTCAGCCACAAAGTGGTGCACCACGTAAAATGACAGAGCGGGGTCAGCGCATGCTGAAGTACACAGAAGTCACCAACTGTCTGCAGAGTCAATAGCTAAAGACCTCCAAACTTCAAGTTCCCTTCAGATTAGCACAACAACAGTGCATAGAGAGCTTTATGGAATGGGTTTCCATGGCCGAGCAGCTGCATCCAAGCCTTACATGATGCCGTGGTGTAAAGCACGCCGCCACTGGACTCTAGAGCAGTAGAAACGCGTTCTCTGGAGTGATGAATCATGCTTCTCTGTCTGGCAATCCGATGGATGTGTCTGGATTTGGCAGTTGCCAGAACAGTACTTGCCTGACTTCATTGTGCCAAGTGTAAAGTTTGGTGGAGGGGGGGATTGGATTATGGTGTGGGGTTGTTTTTCAGGGGTTGGGCTTGGCCCCTTAGTTCTAGTGAAGGAAACTCTTAAGGCGTCAGCATACCAAGACATTTTGGACGTTTTTGCTCCCAACTTTGGGGATGACCCCTCCCTGTTCCAACATGAATGCGCACCAGTGCACAAAGTAAGGTCCATAAAGACATGGATGAGCGAGTTTGGGGTGGAGGAACTTGACTGGCCTGCACAGAGTCCTGACCTCAACCCGATAGAACACCTTTGGGATGAATTAGAGAGGAGACTACAAGCCAGGGCTTCTCGTCTGACATCAGTGTCTGACCTCACAAATGCACTTCTGGAAGAATGGTCAAACATTTCCATAGACACACTCCTAAACCTTGTGGACAGCCTTCCCAGAAGAGTTGAAGCTGTTATAGCTGTAAAGGGTGGGCCAACTCAATATTGAACCCTACGGACTAAGTCTGGGATGCCAATAAATTTAATGTGCGTGTAAAGGCAGGCAGACCAATACTTTTGGCAATATAGTGTATATAATATAGTATATAGCCTTTCAAATTTTTAGTATCCATCTTCTGATTTGTGCCTGTCCACAACTTTATCCCGGAGATCTTTTCACAGTGCCTTGCTACCCATAGTTGATTGTTTTCTTCAGTTGCACTATCAGGGACTGAAATGTTCCAGGAAAGCTCTTTTCATGCTGAACTAATCAAAATAACCACAACGGATCACAAGTAAAAGTAACAAGGCTTTGTGTGCCATTGAGAAGGTGATTAGCTACACCCGATTGAGTTTACAACTCATTTTTAGGAGGGGGGTGATCCTTTTTCCAACTTCGTTTTTAAAAAACATTTTCTGACATGGTGGTGGTGGTATATCGTTCATTCCGATGTTATAAGTTGCACTGAATAAATACAGCTGGAAAAAAACAGAAACTGTGTCTTCATTTCAGGGAGGAAAGCAACAAAACATAATTTTTTTTTTAAAGGGGGTGATTCTCTTCCATATCCACTGTAGGCTGTATTTTTAGTGTATGGCCGTAGATAATGCAAATTTCTTTCCCTCCACTATAGGTGGAAGGAAAGTAAAGTGCTCGATTCCCCCATCAACACTGTCAGTCACCAGCTCTCTGCTCATAGAGCACTGAGCGATCAGCGGTGTTTGATCGCTCAGTTCTCTCTCAGAGCCGGAGAGGGACAGATGCAACATCCACCTAGATAAGTATAATTTCTAAACACAAAAACCCTAAACTTCTCTTTTAAAGCCAAGCTTTGGCCAAAGCATTGTAATTTGAGAGCAGGAAAGGGTAAAAGCCTCAGAATTGCTTTGCTGCACGTGTCCTTTTTGAGAGATTTTTTTTGGTGGTGTGTTCTGAGCACATTTCCCTCCCACGAATGCGCTGCCTGTGAGATTCAGCTGGATTTCATTGTTAATGGCACCCCAAACACATCTGAAGACGCAGCGTGTTTGCGCCCATCAATCCGCATGGTACTGCGGCTCCATGCCATTTGGTGTGGTGTGATTTGCACTACCTTTGCACATTCCCGTGTGTTTGGCAGCCCATTGGAACCGACGGACTGTCAATACCAGAACACAGGGAACACGCATGTTGTAGTGTGAAGCGGCCCTGAATACAGCAGCTGGGGGGGGTAAATGAGCGGTAAAGGCTGGCTATAAACTAGGCATGGTGGCTACAGAGGAGCTGGGGGGGTAATGAGGTCACATGTGTCTCCTATGGACAGCTGTTAGCAGAGCTCTGCCATGCTGGCCCTCAGCCAAACACTCACCAGGCCCACTGCCTCCCCCCTCCCCCCACACGCAGCCTATCAGACGCACTGCTCCCCCCCACAGCCCCATGACAGCGCCTCCAGCGGCAGAACTACACGTCCCATGATGCTTTGCCAAGTCACGTGACAGCCAGTCAGCGCTCACCTTCTCCAGCAAAATTTTTATCAGCTGCTCATGGCCGCGCCTCGCCTCCCGCCCCTGGCGGATGTAGGCCGGGGAGACTAGCTGCTCCCCAGCAGTAAAGCTGTCCCCGTTCATGACGGCGGAGAAGAGGACTGACACAGCGGATCGGTCACAGCGTGACACAGCCACGGCAAACACCGGCTACCGTCACCTACACAGCCAATGGGCGATGAGGAAACGCCAGGATGCGCCAATCGAGTTCCGATGTGAACAAGCTCTTCTATGTGCCACACCTACTATAGAATTTAGGTAGAACTGTGCGAGCCGGACCCGCCTACGGGGCGTGGCGTTGTGGTCTAAAGTTTCAGACGCTCTTACTGTGTAGTTCTAGGTATGAGTGGGCATGCTGCTTCTGACCACTAGAGGGCGGGAGCCACATTAGAAGCCACAAGCTGGCAGGATCTCAGCGACATGATGAGGGAAAGCGCCTGTGCATGGCAACCAATCAGCTTCTAGCTTTCACTTTTCAAAGCTTAACTGAACACGCCACAGATCGAAGCTGATTGGTTGCTTCAGATTTTCTTCTCCTCTATATAGCAACAGAGGTAGAAATCAGTGTTCTGCTCATATAGTGAATGCCAGCAATGCAGCAGCACTAAGGTCACCAGTACATTGTGCTGACATATTCATATAGTCATATTCAATGACACCCCACGTTACTAAGGCTGGGTTCACATCTGTTTGTGCTGTTTTCTTCTTGTGCATTTTTTTTTTTCAAAATTGTTTCAAACTTTTAATTTTGTCTATAAAATCATAAAAAACAGATAAAAGGCAGCCATCATAAGGGCTCATGTATACGGCAGCTGATAAATTGACATTCAGGAGCTTTCTGCGTTTTTTTCAGCAGCCCCTGAACTCTCCCTAATGTTTTCCTATGTGCCCATGTACACATCGTCGTTTACAGGCAGTTGAGTTTACAGTCGTTTTCTTGAACGCACCAAAATTGCATTCAGGAGTAGATTTTACCAGCGGTTCAAAAGCCAAATGCTTGTAAACACGTGTAAACGCAGGTAACCGCATTTACAAGAGTTTGCATTTAGACGCGTTTTTTGACAGGTCCATATCCAGATGCTGTCCAGAGCCTTTTTTCTTCATCAAAATTGCATGCAAAGCGTTTTCCAGGTACTCAAATGGACCCAGTACACCAGCGCAGTCAGTTCCAGGTTTCGCGCGAAAGAAAAAATGGTAGAACTCGCTGCATTATGCTCATGATGGGATCCATAGTGAATACAACCAGAAAAGACAGGTCATCTCAACGCATACTGCTCTCTCTGCTTCTGCTCTCTATTTCTCTCAAAATGTCTGAAATAGTTAATTATTTACTATTTTGCAATGCATTATTATCTTTTAAAAATGCTTCTAAACAGAAACGTACATAAACGAGGCTAAACGCTCATAAATGCGGTATGCAAACGCGGCTAAACTGACATTTTGTAACCTACATTTTCTAGCAGTCAGTTTCCAGCAGTCAGAAGAGTTTTCCAAACGCCCCGTGTATATGAGCAGTTTTCATGACGGGGGGGGGGGGGATTTTGATGCGGCGCAGAATTTGCACAGAAACCGGTGCGAATTCTGCACCGCATCAGTGTGAACTCAGGCTAAATATTTGCTTCAGCTTTGGTAGTAGAACATTTCTACATATAGCAGAGTACTGGCGCATTTTACGTTTTTTATTTTTTTTTAATGCATTTTACATGTGCTTTCTTGCGCATTCATGGGCCAGAAAAACGCATTTATATGCATAAAATATTGGCCATGCCTCATGTTTTACAACACAGCATGTAGATGTGAGCAGCCCCTCTGCAAACAATGTATTCTCCTGGCACATGCATTTTTATGAGCTGCAAAATGCGCATAAAAGAGCATAGGTATGAACAAGACCTAAGGGCCAGTTCACACCAGAGAATGCGGTGCAGGCCACCCGCCTTCTGCGCACATGTAACGCCCTCACAATTGCTAGTGTAGGTAAATTTAGTTAGGTTCCTCTGTAGGCAGAACAGCAAGGGTTAATTGTGTTTAGCAGACTGGGCAGTGATTCACAGGCTTTGGCTCTGTTACTTCTCCTTGTCTTCTGGAACTCATTGGAACGTTTCAGAATATAGTCGGCGGGGGGGGGGCGGACAGAAGCTGCAGCCTGAATATTCTTGGAGCTTCCACCAATCCCTGGGGAAGGCATACCTAGAAGGTGGGGAAAAGCAGCTCATAAATATTCTGAAGTCTGGCAGTCTGGGTGCAGAGTCCAGGGACCAGTCGTCTGGAGGGACCTCTGTGCTGGGAGCTCTGCCCCCTAGCACAAAAGAACAGAGGAGAGAGAGAGGAAGCTCCAAGACATCACTCAGCTCCAGTCTCAGCTGGGCTTCAAGCCTAGCTCAGCTTCAAGCCAAGCCAGAAGCTGCCTGTTCAGCAGAGAGGCCAGTGCAGCAGTTCTATAGAGTCTAGGAAGCTACTTAAAGTGTTTGTAAAGTAGGCCTGTGCAGTTTGTTTCATTCCAAATTGAAATTTTTCATTATTTAGAGATTCGGATATCCAAATTTCCAAATTACAATAGTAGCGAATTTAAACGAACGTGAAATAATGAAATTGGACAAATAACAAAATTTTGGCAACAATTTGAATCGAATTCAAAAGCTAAGTTGAAATAATAAATTAGAATAGAAAATAAAGGACTAAAATAGAAAATAATAAAATAGAAAAAATAGAATAGAAAATAGTAGAGTAAAACAGAATAGAATAGAAAATAAAAAAAAAGAATAGAACAGAAAATAAAAGTCTCAAACAGAAAAGAATAGAATGGAAAATAAAATAATAAAACAGAGTAGAAAAGAATAGGGTATAACAACAGAATAGAATAGAAAATAAAGAAATAGAATGGAATCTAACAGAATAGAATAGAAAAAACAATAGAATAGAATAAAATAGAAATAATATAGACAGCTTCTGAAATGTGAATAGAATAGATTAGAAAAAAAAATAATAGAATAGAAAAGAAAATTGTACATAGAAAGGAATAGAATAGAAAAAAACAATAGAATAGAATAAAATAGATTGAATGTAAACATTTTCCGAAATTCAAATTTTGAACAGAAAACATTCAAATAGAAAAGAACAGAATAGAAAATAATGGAATACAAAACAAAAGAATAGAATAGCAAAACCAATAGAATAGATAAAATAGAAAGAATATAACCGTCTTCTGATATTTGAATTATGAATTGAATACATTTGAATAGAATAGAAAAGAACAGACTAGAACACAAAAGAATAGAATAGAAAATAAAAGACTAGAATAGAATAGAGTAGAAAAAAACAATATAATGTAGCCCTGTTTTGGGGGGGGGTTATGTGAAATAATAATAATAAAATAGAATATAGGTGTCTTCAAAAATTTGAATTTCGAATAGAATAAACATGAATAGAATAGATTAAAATAGAAAAGAATAGAATAGAAAAAAGTAATAGAATAGAATAGAAAGAATATAACTGTCTTCCGAAATTTGAATCTCAAATAGAATCAATTCAAATTCGGCCAAATTCGGAAAATTTTAATCGAATTCGAAAACGAATAAACAAAACAAATTCTGAAAATGAATTAAACGAATTTAACTAAACAACATTATTTAAATAATGGGTTGAAAGAAAAAGAAACAATTGATTTTTTGGTCTATTGTAAAGCTTCAGCTTTTTTTAATTAAAAAAACAAACATGTCATACTTACCTGCTCCGTAAAAAACTGGCCGAAAACACTGGTTTTGCACAGAGCAGCCGTGATCCTCCTCTTCTTGGGACCCTCCCTTGTGCTCCTGGCTCCTATGGGGGCACTCAAACGGGCTCACTTCAGAGCCCCGCTGCCTGCAAACACAGACACAGACTACCTTGTCACAGAGTTTGATTGAGAGCAGCGGAAGCCAAAGGCTCCCACTGCTATGGATCTGACCTGTGAGGAGGGACAGAGCCAGGAGAGCTGCTGCTCTCACGCACAGAGCTGGATCACGATGAGGCTCGGGCACAGAAGGTTTTTCTACCTTAGTGCATACAATGTAGATTTAGAACCACTGAGTGAGTACAGAGCAGCCATCACACCCAAAGCAACAGACAGGACAGTGTAGTGCAATACCGCACATCTGAGACCAAGGGGACAGCCTACTGCAGTGCAAGACAGCCAGGAACACCCCAACACTTTGAGTCTAGAGCAGCCAGGTGCCATGCAATACAGCCAGGAGCTGTTTATTCAACACTGACTTTTGGAACCTTCATCTTTTTTTGCAGCATAATTCAGTTGGACTTTAGCAGCCAGAGACTTTAGCAGTTCCTCAATCGTTTTGTTTGGAGATTACAAGTTCTGGGCATCCCATGTACCCCCAATTCCTATCCAAGTTAAATATTCCAAAAATAAACACTAAAACCCAAAACCCCTAGATTTTTTCTTGAGCCATTAAGAGAGTGTGGAAAATTCCTTTTGCCTGGCTGTGGCTGATGTTTGAGGTAAAATACATCCGAAGTCCAGCGGCTCCTTTGGGGGTAACGACACACACGTTTCCTGCACACGTTTGATACAGGATTCAGGTAAGTGTTGGGGGGGGGGGGGGGGGGGCACAGCAAGGGGGAAAACATTTTTTACCTTAAAGCAATTCTAAGGGCCTTTTTTTTTTTACATAACAAACATGTTATACTTACCTACTGTGTGTAGTGGTTTTGCACAGAGCAGCCTGGATTCTCCTCTTCTCGGGTCCCCCGCAGGCTCTCCTGGCTCCTACTGTCTGTTAGGTGCCCCCACAGCAAGCAGCTTGCTATGGGGGCAACCGCTGCTCCGTGTGTCCATTTACATTCGGAGCCACGGCTTGCCCCACCCCTCTCTGCTTACTAGCTGACTGGCTGTGATTGACATGTCCACTTGAGCCTCAGTTCTCCAGGGATTCTCACTCCTGACTGGTTGAGGCAGCAGCAGGAGCCATTGGCTCCCGCTGCTGTCAGTCACAGCCAGTAAGCCAATCAAGAGGGAGTGGGGCCAAGCCATGGCTCTGTGTGAATGGACACTGCGCCTGCTCGGGTGCCCCCATAGCAAGCTATTTGATAAGGGGGAATCCGACAGGAGGGAGGGGACAGGAACACCAACAGGGGACCCGAGAAGAGGAGGATCCGGGCTGCCCTGTACAAAACCACTGCACACAGCAGGTAAGTATGGCATGTTTCTTACTTTTAAGAAAAAAAAAACCAAGACTTTATTATTGCTTTAAAGTGGAACTTTGCCCATAACAATTTGCTAAAAAAATAATGTTCTTTAGCAAGGAACATACATTCCACATTAATAATTATTGTGTGCTGTAAATTGCCTCCAGCATTGTTCCTATTTCTTTTGCTAGAGGCTGCCATTTTGCTGAAGCCCAGAGCCCCTGAGCAGCAGTACATCTTTGGGCTGTCAGCAAATCAGCCTCTAGTTGCTCTGCTTTTAGCCACAGTGCCAGAAAATAGAGAGCAATGGAGCATGTGCAGAGCAGGCTGAGACTGTGTATTACTGGATTTTAAACAGTATAGGCACTTATGCAGGGGCGGACTGACGATTCATGCACTCGGGCACTGCCTGAGGGCCCAGGGTCAGTAGGGGGCCCCATGAGATGCCCTTAGTATCTTTCATAGGCTTTTTTGGGTGTGGGTGAGGACACAGGGGCCCCATGATCCCCTATTGCCCGGGGCCCCATGAGTTGTCAGTCCGCCCCTGCAATTATGTTTAATGTTTTACATAGCCATACCTGTAAAAGGGGCCAGCCTGAGCCGATCTAGCAGGACTTCATTTTCTGACTAAAGTTCCACTTTAAGCATACCCCCATGCGGACGGCCGTATTTGTCTGCATGGGATGCACAGGTGTTCCTTACATCTGCATGTAGGCAGTCCCATTTATGTCAATTGGGATACAGGGACTGCACAGACACAGCCACTGCTCCCAACCTGACATCCGTGTGGGTGTGGGACCCTGAATGCACACTGTCTACATTTGGGGACCCTGTACCTGCATGCACCTGCACCCACATGGTTGTGTCCATGCAGCCTGTGCATCCCTATACGGACATGAATGGGATTGCATGGGGAGGGGGGGGATGCAAGGAATATTTGTGCATCCCATGTGGGCAAACACAATCCTTTGCACAGGAATACACTTAAGTATACGGGTGTGAATGAGGCCTTATCTGAGAGTCAGAAATTGCACATTGCTCAAGGAACCCCCAGCAACCTCCAAAGGGATGCTTGGGTTTCATGGAACCCCAGTTAAAAATAGATACAATTTTCTTATTTGCTTTTATAACTTCATTATGTAAGTTATGTTTACCCACTGACACCCCTGCCAATAAATAAAGGAAATGTGACAGTATGATTCCTGTGCTGCAGTAAGCACACTTGCAAATATACATACAACATTGTTCTATACATTTATTATTTCATCACATCCTTCAACAATATGTACTATTACCTACCTTCTTCAGCTCTGTATATACAAAGTAGCATGGGGGAGCTCTTGTCCATAATGGGCATAGTATTGGCACAGCTCCAGATGATCCACATTGGCTCACAATTGATATGATCCAAAAATATTTAGACAGAATAAAGGTGAATAAAGCACCTGGACCGGATGGCATACACCCACGCGTCCTTAAAGAATTGACCTCTGTCATTTCAAAGCCATTGTTTCTCATTTTTAGGGACTCTTTAATGAATGGCATAGACCCACTGGATTGGCGTAAGGCCAATGTGGTGCCAATATTTAAAAAGGGATCAAAATCTTTACAAAGTAATTATAGATCTGTTAGTTTAACTTCTATAGTTTGGATGATACTGGAGAGTTTAATAAAAGACCACATAGATGAGTTCTTGCTGGAAAAAAAAATATTTTAAGCAACAGACAGCATGGATTCATGAAAGACAGAAGTTGTCAGACGAATCTGATTTCTTTTTATGAGGAGGTGAGCAAAGCCTTGGACAGAGGGGTGGCGGTGGATGTGGTATACTTGGACAGAGGGGTGGCGGTGGATGTGGTATACTTGGACAGAGGGGTGGCGGTGGATGTGGTATACTTGGACAGAGGGGTCATGGTGGATGTGGTATACTTGGACAGAGGGGTGGCGGTGGACATGGTATACTTGGACAGAGAGGGGTGGCGGTGGACGTGGTATACTTGGACAGAGGGGTCATGGTGGATGTGGTATACTTGGATTTTGCAAAAGTGTTTGACACAGTTCCCCACACATGGCTAATGTGTAAAGTAAAGTCTATGTAAGTCCGTATGTAAATGGTTAGAAAACTGGCTAAAAGTTCGTATTCAGAGAGTAGTGGTTAATGATTCATATTCTGAATGATCTAGGTTTGTCAGTGGTGTACCCCAAGGTTCAGTGTTGGGACCCTTACTTTTTAATAGATTTATAAACAATATTGGGTGTGGTATTAAAATCCCATTTCAGTCTTTGCAGATGACACCAAGCTGTGCAGTGGAATAACGTCCTTAGAGGATGTCTCCAATTTACAAGCCGACCTCAATGTACTGTATAATTGGGCAACTATGTGGTAAATGAGGTTTAATGTTGATAAATGTAAGGTTATGCACTTGGGGGCTAAGAATATGCATGCATCATACATACTAGGGGGGTACAACTGGTGGAATCAATGGTGGAGAAAGATCTGGGGGTTCTGGTAGATCACAAGCTTAATAATGGCATGTAATGCCAAGCTGCGATTTCTAACACAAGCAAAATCCTCTCTATATTAAAAGAGGTATAGACTCCAGAGAGAGAGATATCATATTACCCCGGTACAAATCATTAGTAAGACCTCATCTGGAATATGCAGTTCAGGTTTGGGCACCAATTCACAAAAAGAACATTGGGGAACTGGAGAAAGTGCAGAGAAGGGAACCAAACTGATAAGAGGCATGGAGGAGCTCAACTGTGAGGAAAGATTAGAGGAACTGAATTTATTCTCTCTTGAGAAGAGGAGATTAAGGGGGGATATGATCAACATGTATAAATAATCAGTAATTCATATAGTGAACTCGATGTAGAGCTATTCACCCTGAGGTCATCACAGAGGACAAGGGGGCACTCTTTATGTCTGGAAGAAAAGAGATTTAGAAAAGAGATTTAATCTCCAAATATGGAAAGGTTTCTTCACAGTAAGAACTGTGAAAATGTGGAATAGACTCCCTCAAGAGTTGGTTCTGGCCAGCTCAGTGGATCCTTTCCTACATACACAGAATATAACTGGTTACTAACATTTATAAGTAAAGTTGATCCAGGGAATATCCAATTGCCTCTCGGTGGTTACTAAGGATTTTTTTCCACTGTAGAAGTAAACTGGACCATGCTTTGCTGGGTTTTTTGCCTTCCTCTGGATCAACTGTGGGTGTAGGATTATAACTTTATTTTGGTTGAATTAGATAGACTTTTGTCTTTTTTCAGCCAGACTGTGTAACTATGTAACTGTTTAATGCTATATTATGTAGCATAAAACCCTCTGATCTATTTAATGATAGGCACTGAATAAAATAATTTGATCAAAACACATACGTTGCTAACAGATATCCAGTGATCATTAGAACTGGTAAACCTATATCCTCAGTAACCACAAGTTTGCATGCACCCTGAGCTGATTCCAGGGGATTGTCTATTATATAAGGCAGTCCACCATAAATAAGAAGTTGTAGAAAGCATTCTATTCATGAAATATGGAGACAATGGGGTTGATTTAAAGTGTTACTAAACCCACAAAATGTAAAATGGCTGTTTGATCCTGTCTTCTCTGATCCTCCCCATCTTCCACAGTCCCCAATCAGTCTGCTGATAGTACAGAGCCCTAGGAGACACTCTGCACATGCTCAGCTTGGTGTGTATTGCTAGAGGGTTTTTTTTTGGGAGGGTGCATGTGATCAGCACAGGGCCAGTCAGCGCTGTCCAGAGAGAGGGTCAGGGGTTATGCAGCCTCATAAGACAGTCAGAGGAGAATGAAAACCTCTCCTATAAGATTAACCAGTGCTCAGATGGACACTGATAGAAGTCAC